TTCTAATAATTATGACTAGTACAGAATTAAAGAATTTAGATAGTATCAAAATATTTTTACTTTAGTAAGAGAATACAAGTAAATAATTAAAATTATTAGATAAATTAGAAAGCTTTATTAAAAAGAGAAAAATTAATTAATTATAATAGTCTTATATAGATAATTATTTTATTAAGATTATTTATTAATTTTACTATAATAAAAATAATGCATAATTAATAATGATTAATATTTTTAAATATGATTTAAATAATATGATATATAATTATATAATATAATATAATATAATTTTACATTAAATTCTTTAAATATACACTCTCTCTAAATATACTCTCATGATCAGTTTCAGAAAAGATGCATTTAGAGAAATTTCTCTGTATTATATAATTATTCTTTTAATTATTTTTACTTTCTACTAATTTCAAATTAATTCACAGAAATTCTTTATCTTAATCTAAATTAAAATGAGATGACTATTTTGAAATTATTTTTTATAAAGAGAATATTAAAAAGTTATTATCTTTTTTAGTACAAGTATTAATTTAAGAAATAAGTATAATTCTTAATAGTATATTAATAAAAATATATTTTTCTACTAAAAGTTATCAAAGATAATTTTTAAAAATAAATAATAATAATATTCTTTAATATAATTAACTAAAATATAATCTAATTTTAAAGTATAATTTAAAGATAAATATAATAATTAATTTATTAATAAGACAAAATAATAGATTTTAATCAAGATCTATTTTACTAAAAATATTTCTTAGAATTTTTTTTCACTATAATTTATTTAAAATATAAATTAAGAACTAAACTTATAGAACTTAAACTAAATTAATAAAATATTTTTTTACTAAAATATTTAATTATTCTTTTTATTAATTAAAATACATTATTTTTTATATATTTTAAAGATAATACTTTTATTATAATACTTATATTACTTTTATTATAATCTAAATATTATTTTAGCTAATATCATACTATTAATTTTATTATGATAATATTATTAATTTTACTATAATAATTTTGTTATAATTATCATATTTATAAAATTATTTAAAAATATTTATAAATAATATTCTTTAAAGCTAATGTTTAATAAAATATAAATAATTAATTATTTAATTATATTATGATATAAAGTAACTAATAATAAATAACTAATTAATATTCTACTAAAAATTTATATTATAATATATAATATTTTTTAATTTTTTAAAAAAATTATTATAATTATAAAATTATTACAAATTTTTTTTAAATTTTATTTTTAATTAAAAATAATTTTTATAATAATTTTATAATTAGAATTATTCTTTTAAAAAATAAAATTAATTTAATTATAAAAATTATTATAATTATAAGAATATAATTTATAATTTAATTTAAAATTTTTTTAATAATTTTATAATTAAAATAATTTTATTAAAAAATATAAATTTAATTTAATTAAATTATAAAGTTTAAAGAAAAAATTTTTATTTTTATTTTATATAATTAATAAAATTAATCTTTTAATTTTAAAATTATATAAATTATTATATAAAATATAATATAAGTTTTTGAATAAATTTAATAAAAATTATATATATAAAAAGTTTTTTAAAATAATATATAAAAGATAATTTTAGTTATATTTTTCTTTATTATATAATAAAAATTTTATTAATTTTTATTAAAATTTTATTAAGAATTCTTTATAATCTAATAAATAAATTTACTTAAAAATAATATATTAAAATTATTTTTAAAAAGTTTTTTTGAAAAATTTTTTAAAAAAATTAATTTTTAAATTTTTTTTGAATTTTAATCCAAGTTTATAAGAAATATTACTGAGATTTTTTATTAAATTATATTATTTTTTTATTTTTAAATATTAAAATATATATATTTAAAATATTTTTTATTAGTTAAATAATTATTTTTTTATAAATTATAATTGATAAATTATATATTTTTATTTTATATAAAAGTATTTTTATTAATTAATAGTTTTTTAATTTAAAAATAAAACTACTTTAATATTATATTTTTGACTTTTTTTAATAAAAGTTCTAATTATTTATAGACTTAACTAATTTAATTAATCTATATATTATTAGAATTTTTATTCAAAAAATTTAAAAAAAATATATATTAAAAAAATTATAATTTTATTTGAGTTAAAAATAAAAAATTTTATTAATTAAATTCAAAACTTTTATATAAATTAAAAAGATATATTTTTATAATAAATTATCTGAAAAGCAAAAAAAAAAATAGTAAATTCAGAACTTTCTTTATATATAAAAGTTATTAATTTTATTAATAAAAAATTATACTATAAATTAAAACAATTATAAAGATAAAAATTTATAATTTTAAATATATTTTTTTAAGATTTTTTTAAAGAAGTTATTTTAAAATTTTTTATTAATTAAATTTATATTTTAATTAATAAAAAATTTTAAATTTATCATTAAAATAACTCTTTTCAAAAAATAGATGTGAATCTATAGCTTATTATCTTTGTTTTGATATAAAAATAAAAATTTTTATTAATAAAATTAAAAAGTTTTATATATATAAAGTTTTCCAAATCTTATTATATTTTACTTTATTTTTATATTTCCAATAATTTATATTAAAGTTTATTAATTACAATTAGTAAAAATTCAAGCATTTCATTATTTTTAATATTTATTATAGTTCAAATACTAACTTTCTTGAATAATTGACTTTATATGAGCATTTAATTCTTGATATTTTTATATATTTCTTCTTTTTATTATAAATCAAAATTTCTTTTTGACATTCTTAAGTTACTAAAAATAATAAGATAATTTTTTAGACAATTTTCATTTTTTTGTATATTAGAATATTGATATATATTATCTTATCTAATATTATTTTAATAAATTATTCATTTCAATCTCCAAGTACTCAATGCTATTCAATTTGAATAAGACTCTCATTACTGTAAAGCATTGGTTTGATATTATATAAGCACATTGTTTTTTATAATATAAATATATAAATTTCATAAATCTTAATCAATAAGTCTTGTATGAAAAACAAAAAGAATATATAATAAATTATACGATATCTACTAAGTCATAAATTTACGGATTCTTATTAACGTTAACGATAAAGATTATCAGAAACGAACTTGTCATTAGGTGTGATTTATGCAACAAATTAAAATTGCTAATATTCCTTATAAGCACTTTTTTAATTATTTTTTCTTATTTAAATACATAGCAAAAGCTCAAACAAGTATTAAAATAATATGACTCCCTATACAAAAGACACCACTGTTCTTCCCAAGCAGTAAAAGTAAGAGACTTCAAGGTTGGTTTATCGACGAATCACAGTATTACAAAAGAAAAATTATTTAGATTAAAGCTAAAGTTAATCTTTACTTCGTTATAATCATTTTATTATTTCCAATATACGTACATTTATAGTTTTTTAATCACAATAATTCAAATATTAATTATATTCAATAATTCTAAAAATTATCTTTACTGCCAATGTGGATTTGGAAAAGGTTTTTATGCGTTAATTATAAATTTACGTTAGTATGATTATACAGAACCTTGCATAAGAGCGGTAGGTCGTTCTTTTTGTAAAGTATCTCGGATTTCCCACGCTGTGAATCTTTTTTATGCAATTGCATAAAAACATTCGGATACAAAAAAGAATTAGTATAACTGTATAAATTATTGCCGAACATACATGCATATTATATTTATATTTAAATTATATAATCAAATATAAATAAATATTTTTAAATGTGTATGTAAACACAACATAGTAAACATTCATTTTTAATATACAAATAATATAATATATATGAAAACACAAACAAAATAAACGTTTTGTTGTATATTTGAATTTTATAACATCATAAGAAACTGATTACATAGTCAAACTCGATAAACCGGCATTATGTTGTCCCATTTCTCTGTAAACACCATATTTATCACACAGGGCAGGCTAATCAAATACATGTATAATTTGGGGAGCCTTACGACTGAAGTTCACGAAGAGAGGTGTAGCATCTTGTTAAATTTTAAGAAAAGCCAAAAGTTTTGATGTGAATTAATTTTATCGCTTGAAGATAGAGATATCAATCAATAGAAAATTGGTTCCAGGTATTTGGAAAAAGAGTTTTAGGTTAAACGACATTTACGAATGTGATGATAAAAACAGCAATGAGAAAAGAAAAGAATTAACGATATGAATCCAGTATATTAAAAAAAATATTATAGTCATTGCCATTTGATATAGTAGTTGAGTTATTATTAAAGATATTTCCATTTATTATCGTTATAATATATTTGCTCCAAAGATTAAATGTCCCATCGGTGGGGCCGGCTGTTGATTTTTGTTGTGTTGGTTGTCGATTCATCGTTTTTCTGACAGAAATGTTTAACTCGGAAAGTATGCTCATTTTATTATTTATATTTTTTATTGTATACACATTTTTCTATGCACCATTAATTAAATTGTATAATATCATTTATATTTTACATTTTAGGGAATGAGATTTACACATGTATTATTGTTTACACTATTCTAACGCTAAAGTTTTATTACATAAATAACTATATTTGGGAAGAAACTATATTCATGTAAATGCTATTGTCTCCCAGTTCGTGTCTAGCAAAATCATCCTCTCTCTTTATACTTTACATTATGATAATGCATATCCAATTGTTTTTGTAATATTGTTGTTATTATATGAGTAGAATAAGTATATTAATATAAGAATAAATTTATAAAACATATTTCGATTAAAATTTCGGTCGAAGAACGAGTCTGATGACGATTTATAAGAAACCATAAAAAAATTTGAAGGGAGAAATTAAAAAGGATAAAATAATAATTTGCGTAAAGCACATTCCCGTTTAATAAATTCAAAGGCTCAGAATAATTGAAGTGAGTTTCTCATAATTAAAGCCATACACATTAATCAAATTATATAAAATCGAAAATGTGAACGAGAATTAAAGATATAACGAAAGAATTGATTGATAATCTAGATTAAATATAATACTATATATAATTCATCCTAACCTTACTGAACTCAGAAAAAATTCAGATATCTCAAAATTTTACCGAATTCAGCAATTTGATGACAAACATTTTTGACGTTTGGACCAGTTTTAATAATGAATTGAATCATATTCAATGGATCGATTATGGTTGTAGTTGCGTTTGTTCTGTGGCAATTATTATTCGTTGATTTCATTTTGATGATAATATGTTGATACTTGGAAAGATATAACTCTCCCTTCAATTTAAATATTGTTAGACTTTTATTCTATGCAAATTATAACTATGATATTTTGAATAGAATAATTTTTAAAATATCCATTTAATCAAAAGTTTAACATTGGAGGGAGCTTGAGTTATAGCGATTCACACTATCTTTTAAGGAATTTTTTGGTGAGAACACGAGTTGATAGTCGAATAAAAGTGAGTCAAATTCTTTCAATCTTTCACAAAATCGGGATTGACGAGTATTGTAGAATTAGTAATCTCGGCTGAGTCTTAAGTTTATCCGGATCCCGAATGCGAAACTAGGGCTTTTGAATTGATCATATGATTGAATATTTAATTTAATTTATGCATATTAACATAATAGTAAAGTAAGATTTCATATTTAATTAATGATATTATTTATGATAATTCATGTGATCGACTTTGAGTTTGGTTGAGTTGAATCGTTATCATCCCTATGCGAAAACAACATTGGTTAAAAATTTAAATAAATTTTATTTATAGAACTAATGTTAATTTCCCTTTTCATTCGTTCTTATAATAGATTATGATTATTAGAAACAATCTTTAAAACTCGATATTTATAAAAATATATCTTGTTTGCATTTTGAATGATTATTTTATTAACTTTAGCAAAACATCAAATGCAAAATTTATTAGCTTAGCAAATTGGAAAAATCGTAAATTCATATTCTTTCGGGAATAAGCGCTAACTGGCACAGTTTGAACTCCAAAATGGGAGATGGTATTTATGGAATGTTTTAATTAATGCTTACGTATAAACTAATTCTTGTTATGCCAGCAAAATTGAAAAATTGGAACGATATATCGATATTTTGAATTCAGTGCATTTTAATTGTCATAACGCCAAATATTTATAAATGTAAACTTGTATTCCTGCATCCTAAAATTCTAATAGCATATACACTATTTATAAAAAGATAAAAAAGCACAGGCTAGCGTTTTGTTGCTTTAGCAACAAAAACGTTCTTCGATAAATATAGCAGAAATTATATAATAAAAAATTTGTTACAAAATAAACTTAAATTAAATTCTATCAACGAACCACGATTAAATCACCTTCTCTAAATTAATAAGAATTTACAAAATAAATTTAATCCTCTTTTCTTATTTCCGATTTTCTTTTCGACTATTTACTCATTCCATTACTATTCTTCCGCAGCATGAAACATTACGTGACACACGATCCTTATTTTTTTGTAAGTTGAATTCTGTGGCCTTGAAAAACGATTCCCAATAATAATTATTTTAGGAAACTTAAGCATATAAAAGATTCGATGTAAATTAGTGCAGTTTCATGCACGAAGAACAAGAATAGCTGCAGCCCTTGTTATATATTTATAATAATATTTATTAATGATAATAACTAAACTATCACATATTAAATGACGTTATTACACAATCTTCGATTGCATTTATTTGTGCAACGTTATGGCCGTTTAATTAAAAAAATAAAGCTTAAAAAATTAAGAAATAATCAAAGAGAAATAATGAATCTAAAAACATAAAAGTGCGACAATGAAATGATTGAAGGATAATATTTAATGCTATTAAAAAAGAAAAAGAAATATTCGGAAGATATCAATTTGTGTAATATGACACGAAGTATTGTAAATGTACGTTATATAATGTTTCGCGATGAAAAAGACGATGAGACAAAAATACGAATAGAACGAATCGAACAGACCAGAACAGAGGTGTGAAATGTCGTTTTGATTTATGTGTAATTTACTAAAAATGGCATTTTGTGCGACGGTTGTGGTAGGATATTTCGTGATTTAGAATTGATCGGGGTTATAAGTTTATATAAGATAGGATTCAAATAGTATAATTGAAGCGTTATTTTGATTTTGTGTATTATCCAATTGATTATTAAAAATATCATTGGTGCCATTTATAAAGCTTCGTGACATGCTTATATGTGCTGTTGGGGGTGGTGGTGGTGGTGGTAACTGCGGTGGTGGTGGTGGCGGTGGTTGATGTTGATTTGGTTGATTAGTCTGGGCCATTAGTTATTTAATTGTTTAAATCCAATTGCAACTACAAATTTCTCTCTGCCATCAGTGCTGTATATATATACGAAATACATAATCCTGTATGTTTCAGCTAAATCATTGCTAAAATCTAGAACTTTAAGGCAAAAAATTACATTGTTTGAAACTTGGAAAAAATTCATAGATTTTCATTAAAAAGGAAAATTTATTAAATTCTATCGAAGATGTTCTTACCGAAAAAGTATAACGTTCGAATTTGCTTGTTACACCAAAGAATTAATCTCGTAATAATTTTTTCCGAGTGTATAGTTATTCTTGTCTCGCACGTTTGTTCCGTATAACCAATAAGGTTCAAGTCGAATAACTTTTCGAGTATAAATGCCACAGCATGTGATGATGACAGTTGTTTTGTTTTTATTGAACATTATCTATCTTTAAGGTCCCTGCATAACCCCACTATGGATGCTCTCTCCACCTGACTTCGAATACAGGTTCTTTCTCAATTACCTTAGAAATATTATGGCTTGGCAAAGTCCTCACATAGACAAATAAATCTATTATTGCTTCAATTACGAATATGCATTTTTATTCACTTACAAATTTATCCATTCACTTAGGTTTTGTGTAAAATTTCTGCATGAATAAAGAACGAATTAACAGTCATCCGTATTTTTGATGTGTAATTTTTTGTTTGTAACATTTATTATGCTCAAAACTAAGGCGGTATTGAAGTACTTTGGTAAGCCAATATATGATTTTAATACACGAATTTAGAGAATTGACTCCCGCAAATTAATGCATTTCTTTTCTTACAAACTTCGTCTGTTTCCATTAAACAATACTGCATCGCTCAAAAAAACAAATAAACAAAAATTGACGATTTCAGTACAAAAAAACCCAATTTAATATAAGTTCTAATTTTATTTCTATCTTTATATGATAGATATGTCATTTCGGTATTGCGTAAAAAAAAATACCGATATCCTATTTAAAAATGTATAAAATAAATTATGTTTAATAGTAAGTTATCTCAAAACTCCAGTGCATGATTTTTTACCATTTATTCATGTAAATGTACAAGTTTCAAACATAACACACAGACACACACACATATTATCTATACAATAACAAGATAAATGTATCACATAATTTCCCTTTACGTATGACTAAAATAAAAAAAAATAAGGGATGGATTAAACGAGGAAAACAAGAATTGTCGGATGTCACTTTTTCCCTTTAGTTACCGCCAACTACTTTTAGGATTTTGTGTACGTGTGCATGCATACATACATTTTTTTTGGGGGTAGTATTATCGGGAAGACGGTGATATAGACTCGGAGAGGCCACAAATTTCTATAAATTGGATAAAAGTTCGCAAACATTCAAACTCGAGAAAATTCATTTTTTCTTTTCTCTGAGCCATTAAACGAGATGGATCTGATTGAATTTTTTTTAATATGGCATCGATTTTTTTTTGATATTTTGAAAGTCAGCTCATAGTTATACCTGGTTCGGGAAAAGAACCACCATCAAAAAAGTGGTATCATGAATTCAATTTTATTTATTGCTATACGATATATTAATCATAATATAACGATAAAGTTTGAAAGGTGATTACGACACTGTGCATACCAGTGAAGTGGCCACGTGGAAAAATTCGCTTTTTTGCGGAGAACAAAATCCAAAGAGAATGACCGTAAAAAGACCCAATCAAAATTATAACATTGGCAAATGGGCCAATTTCATATCAGTAGGTTTCCAAAACTCCATATTTATAAAAATGGCGTTTTAAAGAGAAATCGCGTGCGCACATCTCCTGCGTAGTACCAGTAATCTCTGCGCGCGCGTTGAATGAATGAATGGATGAATGGATCAATTTATTCCCACACCCTAGTTTCTGATCTTTAAATATCACACAACAAACAATACTATTATTTATTATTGTTATTATTCTTGTAACCTGTGATTATCACATATCGTATCATAAATAACTTGTTATGTAACTTGATCAGTTATTTAAATTTAATTTGTGCAACATCTCAGACATACAATTTACTCCTGAATAAAGATAAAGTTATGCGCCAAAAGAGGGCTTTGTGCGTGTGGTGCCAATAAGGGGGATGAAAAATTTATAATAATAAATAAATAATAATGTAATAATGGATAAAATAGCAATTAGTTATTATCACCACCACTATTATTATATTACTGCAACATCCAACATCGGTAAACCGAATTCCTTTCCCCTTCTTTCCCCAATAAACTTTGTGTTGTAGGCTGATAATGATGATGATGTGCATTACGTTACGTTACATCACATTAAAAAATGTGTATATTCTTTTTTTTTGGGCTTTTATTACAATCCTTTTCTTACATATAAAATACCACCACACCAACAGCACAACACACAACTACACACATTTATTATTATTTTATTTTTTTTATTTTTTTTTAATTAACTAATATTTTTTACACTCTACTCTTTACGTACTTTTATACGCGGTACTCTCTGTTAATAAAAAGAATATAATTTTCGATAATGAATATAATTAATAAACAATATTAATAATACTAAATTAATAAAATAAAGTAATAGATATTAAAATAATTTATAATACTCTTTTTTCTTTTTTCAAGCATAATCTTCAGTCATCATTCATTCATCATCATCATCGATAATTAAAATTATTATTTTCGCGCATTCTTCCATTATTTTTAATTAGACACATCGTCTAATATTAAAACAACAATAGCGACAATTAAAAGTAAGTCTATATTCTACTTTATTTTTTTTTTTTGCTTTATTCTCTTGGGTGGTTATTATTTATCACTTTTTCTACGGTTTTTTTGTGAGCCAAAAGTTTATTTGATGATCATCAAATCGTCATTGTCGTTGTCAATATTTTTTATTTTCATGAATTTTTTTATTATTTTTTTTAAAAAAATTTCATCAACAAACGAGTATTCCTTATCACCAAACGAGAAAAAATCAATAATAAAAAAGTAAAGAAACGAAGCGGTATCTACATCAGATAACTTTTTTAGTCATCATAATCATTATCATAATAATCATCCATAATAATCACCATCATATATTATTATTATTCGAATCAGACTAGCTTATTTTTGGTTGGGAGTGTTTCAGTTATGTGTGACAATCTTTCATTCCTCCTATTATTAATTATCATTCATTATCATTTAATTTTCTGCGCATAACATATTTTATTCACATAAACGTATACACATGTACACACACACACACTAACCATTACTATATATTATTCCAACTATTATTATTATTATTATTATTTAAAAAAAAGTGCCTCCCATTTTTTATTTTTGTTTTTGTGTGTTGTGTGTTGTATTTCATCTCATTTTCTTTTTCGTTTGTTCTTTTATTTATTTAGTAGTTCAACTTACTCCAATATCTATTATTAAAATATTGCTCACACAATAACAACAAAACAAAGTACGTACATTTTTTTTCTACTATTAAATGTACTTTATCCACTCATTGAGTATTATTTTTTTTTCTTTATTTTAACTATTTAACTAACTAACTAACTACTCCTCAAATACGGAATTAATATTTTTTCTTTCATATTTTTATTTTTATTTTATTTTAATTATTATTTGTATTCTTATCACTTATTATTATTATTATTATTAATACTACTTAAACGTACAATAATAATCATCAACAACAATAAGTACTAACAACAGTATACATTACCACTACACTATACTACTTTACACACAGACACTCGCCACTGTTTACGTTTCTCCAAAAATAAAAAATCTAGCTAGACGAGATACCGCAGTAGAATCAGACCGAGCATTTTTTCGTTTCGTTATCCTCACCCATTATTCTATCTTGGTCTTGTGCTACATCCATGTGCTAGTCGAAAAAAAAATTTCCCACATCGTAAAGTTAACCAAAAAACTGACCTCAGCGTTTAAATAACCAACAAAAAAAAGGAATCATGGCATACAACCAACGATACCCATCAACACATCAAACATCCAATCCACGGTACGGTTTTTCACAATCCTACCAGCCAACAGCTGGAACACCACAACAATCACAACCGGCAACCACATTACTGCCTGCAACTTTAAACAATGCCACCCCATACGGTGCTAATCAATTATACAGTAATTATACTTCAAGACCTAATTATGCTACGGCAACTACCGCTGCAGCTACTGCTAACTCGCATCAGCAACAGACTCAGCAACAATCGCAGCAACAGTCACCTATCTCTAATTTCAAATGGCATGACATAAGTAGCACTACGTCAGCCTCGCCCACGTCTAGTAATTTGTATAGTGGAACTGGGATAGGCACCAGTGGTAGCAACACGAGTGGATTCACGCAGACTGCCCACAGTGGACTGTTTAATGCTAGTGCCTCGACCAATTACCAACAGAGACAAACTCAACAACAACAACAGCAGCGATTAGCCTCGTCTCAGTTACAAAGTGCACATATACCATATAACACTCATCAATCTTCAATTAGTAAGTATCAACGATGAACTCTGCTGATTCGCATGACCACACACAATTCTAACCTTTTTTTTTTTCTAAAAAAAAATTTACATAGCTTCACATTCATCACCCGCTTTAAGTTTACAACAATTTCATACAACTGGTGGATCAAGTTCTACAACTACTCAAGCACCGGTTGCACAACATAGTAATAACATGATTTCGTTACCTACCCCGAATTCATCTTCCCTCAATAATATAATACGTCAACAGCCCGCGACACAATGGATGGACCCGAGCAGCTCAAGTATGAATAATTTTGGAATGACGGCGGGAATCATGCCAAATGTGGGCCTTTTAAATCCGTTGGGATTCTCGAATAGATCGAACAATGATAATAATACACTTAGCCCTTATAGTGTCGTCGGTGTTGATGATTCGGTAATCATCTTTTCATTGATCTTTTCTGATTTATATGTGGTAATTGCTAATCAATTAACTTGATCAAAAATTAAAAGACTACAGGAATTAGCAATGATGATTTAATGGAAAGCACAATATCTGATGTTTCATCACCATTAACAACCAACGCAACAGCGACCACACAAAATTCAATAACCGGACAACCAACCTACATGAATATGTCACGTTTTTCACAACAACCGCAGCAAACGCAACAACAGCCATCCACAGCATCATCATCGAACTCATCATCTACCACCACCACACCCCAAGCAAATAATCAGCAGACAACCACGTCACAAGTCACCATGCAACGTCATGCCAATGTCCGACGTAATTATACCACGCCTACGTCATCACCAAGTACAATGGGGAATGTGGGGGATCTACCCGCGACGTCGGTAAATAATGTTATTAGTCCAAAAAGAACTCCAAACGACACAAACAATACATACAATTCAAGTATCTCAGCACGAAACAATATCTCTCACACTGGATCATTGAATAATTACATGACGAGTTCGTCTCATGCTCAGCAACAATCATCTTCGCAATCATATCATACCGCACAACAACAACAAACTGCTCAACAACAGCAGCGTATGTCATCATATCAACAACAGCAACAACAGTCACACGATAGTTTCATGTCATCGAATGTGGGATTAGCGAATTATGCATCTCAAGCGACTACTGCAAATTATCCATCTCAAGCCACTACGGCTTCCGCGCAACAATTGCAACAGCAAGCCACACCACAACAACAATTATCCCAGGCTCAAACCTCATCACATCAACAACATGCTTCGCAGCAACAAACACGTAGTTCATTCCAGAATTACACTTCCCCGCAAATATCCGCCTCTCATATTCAGGCTTCGCCAGCACAACAGCATCGAGGAGGCTACGTTAATACTAATAACAATAACAACACTAATACCGGTAATAACATTAGTAGTAATAATGCTAATGCCGCTGCAAATGCAAAATCTTCACCGAGAAGTGCTAAATCATCACCGGTTACTCAAAAATCAGGGATACAAGCACAAACTTCTACACCACAAGTCATTCATCCGGTTGCGCAGCCACATCAGCAGTTGCAACAACAGCAACAGCAAATAGCTCAGCAACATAATTCGCAGCATTCACATCAACAGCAGCAGCATTCGCAACATCAACAATTACAACAACAATTACATCAACAAAAACAAAATGCACAGACACATCATCAACAACACGTGACTCATTCCCCGCATCAACAGCACAATCAACATCAGACTTCCTCATCACAATCACATCAACATCATATCCCAAATCAACATCAAGTTCCACAGAAGCGTCAAGTTGTGTTGCCTGGCGGTGGTGTTCCATCTCAGCAACAACAACAGCAGCAGCAGCAGCAACAACAACAACAACAACAACAACAACAACAACAACAACAACAGCAACAGCAGCAGCAGCAGCAGCAACAGCAACAGCAACAACAACAGCAGCAGCAACAGCAGCATCAACAACAGCAACAACAGCAACAACAACAACAGCAGCAACAGCAGCAGCAGCAAGGATTTCACACACCACAACAATCTCAACAACAGCAATCACAGCAACAACTTATTAATAATGTTGTATGTATTTTTTGTATTTTTAATATTTTATTTCATCGTCAATAAATAAGTAAATAACTGGTTTTTTATTATTCATTAATAGCAACAATCGTCATCATCCAATTCGGTTGATCCAACTAAATCTCCTACGTCCCAATCAACCAGTTTAGCCACTTCAGTGGTCAAAGACAAAAAAGTCAAACGACCACCGAACGCGTTCTTAATATACTCTGGTGAACGCAGACCGCAGCTCCAGAAACAGGATCCAAATCTGCAAACAGCGTCAGTAAGCAAAAAATTGGGCGAGGAATGGAGGAATATGGATCCGGTAAATATAAACAGTGATCATTCTCTTTTTTTTTTTTATAACAATGGTATTTAATCATTCATTGATTTTTGCTAATAGGCTGAGAAAGAAAGATATAATGAGAAGGCGCATAAACTCAAAGAAGAGTTTAAGAGCATAAATCCAGAGTATGTTTATTCACGTCGTACTCCAAGTGGTGGTGCAAACATCGGGAAGAAGCGAGGTTCCACGTCTTCAACATCAAAATCTAGTCCAGTTACTCCTGTTGCGCAACTGCCAAATCCTCAAATGTCTGCTCAAATCGTTGTCCCAACTCCAACAAGTAATATTGTGCTGGTAATGTATCTTACATCGAATAATTTAATTATGTAATGTTTCAATGATCTAATAAAATAATTCTAATTCCAATTTAGCCTATGAATGGAATTATCCAACAACAGCCACAGCAACCACAACAATTACAGCAACAATTACCATCATCTCAGTCTCAGCCTCAACCGCAACCTCAACAACAGCAACCGCCTCCACAGCAACAGCAACAACAAAGAATGAACACACAAACCCCACCACTTCAAAATGCATATACCACCACCGCTTCTGCTCCCATGTATCATCCCGTAAGTTCAACGCCGCCACAACGAGTTCCACCTGCAAACACGAGAACACAAGGAACGCAAACTCATCCACCCCAAAGTCGAAACACACCGTTATCTCTCGCTGCTTCATCCTCATCACCGGGATCTTCAATGCGAAGAGATCGAAAGCTGAAACGACCAATGAATGCTTTCCTGATTTATAATAAAGAAATGCGTCCAAAAGTCTTGGAATCGAACCCTAATATGACTGTCGCAGAAATTTCTAAAACTATCGGGGATAGTTGGAGAAGCATGAATGAGGTATTTATCATTGCTTATTTTTATTAACTCTGTTGAATTTATCTCTCATAAATACTAATAATTTCATCATTATTATAGGAGGAACGGGAGAAATATTTATCTCGTGCCAGAGACTTAAAAGAAGATTTTCACAACTCCCACCCAGAGTTTGTATATACACGTCGCTCAAAAGCAGAACTTGCCGCCGCTGGTCATCACAGTTATTCGAAGAAACGCCCCTACGATTCTTCTGGCTCTGACGACGAAGACTCACGCCACCCTTCTTCCTCACGTAAAGATCATCATAATCATCATGTAGGTGCTTCCGGAAATGCTTCGTCAGCAAATCACAAGGACCCTCGTGGTCGCAAGAAAAAACGGACTCGACATCCCACTGCGCCAAAACATCCCATGTCTGGTTTTTTGTTTTATGCGTCTGATATGCGCCCATCGATCACTGAACAACACCCAGGCAGTACTGTTGGTCCGATTAGTAAGATTATTGCGGCCGAATGGCGAAAATTATCTGCAGAAGAAAAAGCACCGTGGGAACAGAAAGCTGCGGCTGATAAAGCACGATACGCACGAGAAATGGAGGCATATTTGCAGTCGCAAAAAGAAGATGAATAATTAAAAAAAACGATTGTTGTTCTTGATACGGACGATCACAACGTTATTCTAATTATTGTTGTGTAAATTTTATTTTTAAAATTTTTCATTTGTACAGATTTTTTGTTTTGTTTATACACTTTACGTGCACACACGCCTAAAAATATCTTATTCTATTTCCAAAATATCATCCCTCTTACAACTTTCCGTTTGTATACATGCATGCATACACTATATTACATACATTCATAAACGCATCATCTTCATAGTCATTCCTCATTTTTTCATCTTTACATTTCTAAAAAAAATGTTTGAATTTTTATTTTGAAAAAATGCATTTGTCTTCCACCTAGCATTAAAAAATCTTGTTTTTTTTGGTATTTTCGATAACTTAACAAAAATTTTGGAAATAATAAATTTGGTGATTTTAATTATATTGGTAGGTGTGGTTATTAGTGAAGGGCTATCGAATTTCGAATCACATGATCAAAGATCGTGTGAATATGATATCCGATATCGTTTCTGGTGTCGCATATCAAAAGATTTTTCAAAAATAAAAAAATAAATCGCAATAACTCCAAATTTCTGAGTTTGCAAAGTAATTTTCGAAAAGGTTTTATAATTATTTGAATTACGCCTGAATTGTGGCTTAATGCTGGCTAATTTAAGTCACTTGATTTGGTTTAATTATAACTTTGTTAAAGTTGGCCAAGATTATGAAATGTTACTAATTTTAGATCATGTTTCGGATAATGTTTGTCATCAAAAGTTAATAAAATTTGGTTAAATTAATTAAAATATTTTGCTTTTTTTCAAACACAATTAGATCATTATATTTGAAAAGAATTTTTTTTAATTAATAACTGTAAAACTCAAAAAAAATGAATATAAAAAAGATATAAGTTACTTTTATTATAATGACTTTTAATATAATAAAGAATTTTAAATTATAGTATTATTAAATTTTAACTTAATATATATAGCATTCTTTTATTATAAGTTCTAATAAAGATTTTTTCTCAATCTGATAACTTTACTATAATAAGAGTTACTTATAATTATAAAAAGATATAATTATAAAGATATCTGACTATATATTAAATTTGTTACTTAATAATATAATATATAATTTAGTTTCAATTATTAAAATTAATAAATTAATAAAATTTAAATTATTATTACTTAATAATTAATTAAATATATTTAAAATTATATTTAATATTTCAAGATATATTTAATTATTATTAATATTAAATTTTAATAATTTAATATTAGAATTTAATAATTTTCTATTTTTTATATTATATTTTATAAATTATTTTCTTAATATTTTTTATATTATTTTGATTTTTTATATTATTTAATATTATTTTACTCTTTTTTAATTTTATTTTAATATTATTTTAATCTTTTTTTAATATTATAATATTATTTTAATATTTTTAATAATATATAATTTAGTTATTTCTTATTTAATAATAATTATTAATAAAATTATAAATTTAAAAATATATAAATAAAAGTAATTATTTTATAAAGATAAAATTTTAAAATTATATTAATTATTATTTATTTATTTATTATTTTATTTATTTTTTTAATAATATAAAATTAAATTTTAATATCAATTTATTATTAAAAAATATTAAAATATTTTAAAGTAAAAAATATTATTAAAATAATATTCTATTTTAGAAATTTAAAATTAATAATTTCTTATATTATTATATAAATTATTAAGAATTTTAAATATAAATACTAATTTATATTTATATAAATATATATTTACTCATATTATTTTTATATATGAAATTTAAATATATATTTTATTATTAATATAATAACTTTTTTATATAATTATATTAAATAAATAATATAGATTTGTTTTATTAAAAAATCTTACTATATTTTAATATTAAATAGTATCTGTTAAATAGAAAATAAGTACAAGAAATCTTTTATATCTTTTTGCAGATCTAATTAAGAAATATAATAAAAATTATATGAAGATATTACAGAGATAATAATATACTAATACTCAGAATGTGGCCAAATAGCTTATATTATATTATGATTATTTTTCTAAACTTTCTGATCTTTATTCTTCTTTAGATTCTTATTTATTGTGTAAGAAATATTATAATTAGATTATTATTATTAATAAACTTTTTTAATATTTAACAGTTTCTAGACAAGAAAATAAAAGATTCTAATTTAATGCTAATAAAAATAATATATACATTCCTATAGATAACTCTAATACACTCACAGAATTTGATACTATTAAAAGACTATTAGAATATAGTTAATAAAAAAGTTAATAAAAATCCTAATTAGTAGTGGATCTCATTAATAAACTAGAGAATTAAAAAAATAAAATAAAAAAATTAAAAGAGTGATTGTAAAAAATATATAATAAAATAATTATTATTTGTAATTTGTATGAAGAATAACAAAATATAAATAAGAATCTTCTTGAATAATAAAATTTATAATATTATACTCAAGACAAATATATATAGATTATTATTGATATTATATAATATGAATAAAAGTCTTTATATAAAAAAATTAATATCTTGATTAATGATAATAATCAATTTTTTTTAGAAAGCTTATTATAATATACATCACAAATATGAGTAAGTAAATGAAATTAAGTTATTGTAAAGTTTATTAAAATACTAGTTCACAATAATCTTATTATAGATTTTCCAAATAATAAGTAACTTTATAAAAGAATTATGATTATAAACTTAATATATAGATTTTGATATAGAAAATATATATCAAAAATTAATCTGATAGTATCAACTATCAAGAATTCAATAACACAGTTCAAAATAATAATTAATATTAATAATTATATAATAAATTCAGAAAGTTATATCTATTTTTAAAATTAGTTGACTGAATTATTAAATATAAAGGAGCTGCTATTAAAAAATCTTTTATTTCTAATCTTTAATAATGAACAGAAAGATCAAAAAATTATTTTGATCACAAATATAATATAGTGATTTTTCATATTATTATTAGCTTAGTTATTTTTAATATAAGTATGCAAAATAATATTCAATATTCTGATACTTCTTGATCTTTTAATTTTCTTAATAGATCATAAAGATCATAATACAAAACTCTTTTTGATATTATATCAAAAATGCAAGATACTATAGATAAAGAATTATATAATTATCTTGCTGAAATTCTTAATTTATTAAATAAGAAAAAGTTATCCACAACTAATAAAATTAACTTTCTTATTACTAATATAGAATCAAATGATCATTATAATAAATAATATTTTATTTGTAAAAAATAAAATATTGAAAATTAAAAGTAAGTTTATTCAAATTGTAAAGTATATTTACTTATATTAGTAGAATTACCAAAAATATATATTTTAGAGTTCAAAAAAAACAAATCAGATCTATTAACTATCTATAAATCTTATAGTATTAATGAGAAAACTAAACTTCCTACTTTATTTAGAATTAATATTACTTAGAGATCATTTACCAATCAGAAAGTTAATAATCCAGAAATCTTTATATCTGATCCTCTCAATCTCAATTTCAATTTAATTGCAAATATTAAAAAAGTTTTTCATCATATAAAAAAAATATTAGAAGTTGAAAATAGAATATGAAAATAGATAACTATAATATATAATGAAGTTTCATACTATTATACAAGTAAAATAAAAGAGAGATATCTATAGTTAATTCTTATTTCTGAATAATTACATAAAGAAATAAATATATTTTGAATATTTGTTGAATTAAATTAGTAAATTCATATATTAAATTTATTATTATAATTTTATATAATAAATTTTTATTTTCTAAAAAAAATATTGATCTCAAACAATTTGCAATATATTAAAAATATAAAATAAAGAATTAACTTGCTTATTTTAAGAAATATAGTGATTATTACAAGACTTAGAATTCAATTTGTAATATTTATCATCAAGTAATTATTATAAAACTGATATGATTATATATAAAAGTTATTATAGTCTATTAGTAAAAGAATATTTTGCTTGAATAAAGTATTAAACTGATTTACATTATCAAATAAAATTTGAATAAGTAATATTAAGTTTTTCTTAAAGAATATATTTATATATTATTAATCATTATATCAATTATTTTCTATAGATATTTAGATATTTGCAAGCCATAATTAATTACAAAATAGCTATCAGAACAAATAACTTATTACTTAAAAGAACTATATATAGATATTTTTTATCAGTATAAATAGAATGATATTATTTAATATATTATTTTATAGAAATCACAGATAAAACATAATTAATATAACTTAATTCAATTATATAAAATATTATAAAAAGTAACAATATAATTTTCTGATTAAAAGTTTGCAATTAATATTAAGAATTAGATATTATTTTGGAAGAAATAAATAAAATACTAAAAATATTGATATTATCTATTCTATAAATATATTATTGGAAAATTATGATATATAATTATAAAAAATTCTTATAGATAATTAAATTATTCTATTTAATTATTAATATTATATATTAATATTCAGATTTATTTATCATAATCATCAAAACTTAGTTATAGAATAATTTTTTTTAAATAATTAAATATAATAATCTTCAAATATTTGATTCAAGAATTTAGTCAAATATAATTATAGAATATTAAAGATTTTGAATTTTCTTGAGAAAGAAGAATTTTATTAATTTATTAAATAGAAAAACTGACTGTATTAGCTTAGAAGATAAATATATATTAAGTATATAATTAATAAATTTTATTGTTTTAGCAAAAAAAACTTAACAGAAATATATTATTAATATTTTTTATAATAATAATTCAGCTTCTTTATTTAGATCAATACTAATTATTAAACAAAAAATAATTATACAAGAAAATAAAGCAAATCAGTCTAAAGCTGAAATTATTTCAAAGATAAAAACTTTACTTGAACAAATAAGTGAGAATATTCAGAAAAGATATAATGAAATTAAATATAAA